ATCCTCCAGAGCCGACTCATAGGGCCCCTCGCTGTCGGAGTCTGGTGGCAGCTCCAACGGCTTCTGCTGGGCCACAACAATCACCATATCCATACCACTGTATGCACTGATAGTTGAGATACATTATTTCAAAAAAATTGATAAAAAATTAAATCTAGCCTATAGAACAAGCAAATGAAAAGATTTTCTATGTGGAAAAAATATTTTTACTGGCACTATAGAAACTATATTGAGAAATAAACACTAAAAAATAAAACAACTTTTGAAACTGCCAAGCTTGCTTAAATTGAAATTTTTTGATCCTGAAAAAAATGGCAAAATGCAACAAAATATATACAATCAGAATAGTTTCTACATAAAGGATCTTTCTTTCAATTTTTTTATAATGAAAGTGTTTATCCTTTTCTTTTTCTCATCTGCTAAAAGTGTGTGTGACAAGAGCAGAATATTTTCCTGATACCTTTGAAAGGAAATGTTTCTGCAAGCAAGCTTCAAATTTCAGCCTGAAATTATTAACTTGCTCTATATTTCTCCTAGCCAACAGAGCTGTTCCTTGTGATGTGTTGTTGAACTTCAGAAAAGTAGTACAAAATACTTTCTCCTTCTGCCAAGTTATATTTTAGTGTGATATAAACAATGTTTCTGCTACCAATTTTCTAACATATGCAAAAATCTCAAAAGACAGATATAATAAATGGCAAATGTAAAATTATGGCTTGGCAAGTCCAGCTTGTCAGACATGAAAGCTGGAAAACCAGGATAACAGCATCACTATCTCCCTTTCCACCGAGATTACATTTCATCTTCATTGGCACTTCATTAGAGAGAAAAAAGTATGGAGCATCCAGGAACCAACACTCATGTAATTTCAGCTTCTATTTCATAATCTAAATTGTACAAATGTGACTAACAAAGATATCAAGGTTCTCCTTTACACTGTAGCCTCAAGAATCAGGAGCCTCTAGAAAGGAGGAGTTACATTTAACATATTGCACTGTATATTGCTATGTTTTGAAGGAATGTAACATTAATGCTGGGGAATAGCTTTCCTATCCCATTTGGTTTCTGGTGATCTGACTGTTTCTTTGGACCTGTTATATCAGTTCAGGAATTGAAGTATTTTGGAGGGGAAAAAACGTGTCTGCTGGAATGGTAGAATTCTCCCATCAAAGAATCTTGTAAGTTCCAAAGCAGGGATGAGTTTCAACCAGTATGGACCAGTACGGCTGTACTGGATGGTGAAATTTAGCGTGCCTTCCCGTACCCGTTGGCCCCATACCAGAACGCTCCCTCCCCTCATTCCCTCTTTCTCTCGCCCCGCCCATCTTCACCATGCTGACGAAAAGTTCTCAGAAGAAGAACCAGAAGAAGAAAGAACTGGTGAGTGGCTGGGGGTGGGAGAGGATGTTGGGGAAGAGGGAAGAGGCAGAGGGGCTGCTAGAAGAGTGTGCACAGGCTGTGGGTTTTAAAAAACGTCTGAGTGAATCCAGGAAGAGGGAAGAGGCAGAGGGGCTGGAAGATACTATAGGAACACACGCTTCCA